CGTGTCCGCCCGCGTGGGCTGCGTGGCGGCCTCGCGCCCCAGCCCGCAGCGCTGCGGCCCTCCGGGGAGGGCCGGGGCCGCGGCTGGGCCAGAGATGCCCTTGACCGGGCTGCGGGGGAGTACAGGCTCTTTAATTGTAAGAAGTAGCTCACGGGTCTTTTAGCAGCTCCGCAGACTGCCGTGCCCCCTGCTAGCCCACGCTAGCAGGATGGAGGGAAGGTGTACTCCTTATCTGAGGAGTGTTTGGGAAGCCTTCCCCCAGCCTGCCATCCATCCCGTGCTCTTCCGCGACACCGTGTCCTGACCGGGCTGCGGGGGAGTACAGGCTCTTTAATTGTAAGAAGTAGCTCACGGGTCTTTTAGCAGCTCCGCAGACTGCCGTGCCCCCTGCTAGCCCACGCTAGCAGGATGGAGGGAAGGTGTACTCCTTATCTGAGGAGTGTTTGGGAAGCCTTCCCCCAGCCTGCCATCCATCCCGTGCTCTTCCGCGACACCGTGTCCTGAAGGCTCTGGTTTATTGTAGGTGAGGATTGAGCAGAGCAGTGCAGCCTGTGGATGGGACTTAGCAACGGGGAGGAGCTCAGCATGCGGCAAGAGAAGGGTAAGTCTGGGGTACCATGTAATACAGCCACCTGGCTCTGTGGCCTTCGCCTGGCCTGCAAAATGCAGCTGCTTTCAGGGTGCTAGTGCAGGCGTAATTGGAAAGGTGATGAGCAGAGCAGCAGGTCTCCCTGAGTGCCAGGTTTTGCAAAGCTCAGTGTGAAATGTTTTCTACAAAACATGTCAGGATCTAGATTGTATCTTCCCAAGTATTTGTGTGTAACCATAAGCTTCAGCTTAAGAGTCAACACAGCCTGCCTTGAGTAGCATGGGAGAAGGGTAGGGAGCTGCACAAAGCTCAGCAGGATGTTTGAAGTTACATGCAGATGATAGCAAAGTAAAACTAAACTGTGGCTTCCTTCAGGCTCCTAACTCCTCTCTGCTTTATAGTGTGGACACAAACAATTAATTCAGATGCCAATAATCTGACAGTGACTTCCCACAATTCTCCATGAGCTGTCTTCTTTGCTCTCTGTTCTAATGTCTTTTGCTGCACCAAGTATCACTTTCTCATATACATGCACTACTTCACATTTCACATCTATGTTCAACGGCCAAATTTCTGCCACGGCTCCTTCAACACTTTCACAGAAATAAATGTTAACATCAAGGTTCTGATCAGTAGGATCAAAAATCTAAGGAAATGTATCTAAAATCCCTTGTGCTAAAAGGACGTGCCTAAGAAATGAGCAGAGGAGACAGAGCAGAGGAAAATGGCACAAAAGCAGATTCTTTTATTTTGCCTTTAAAAAAATTAAAGTACATGCCAGAGGAATGGAGGAGGCCACCAGTCACTGAGATCAAAGCTGCAGCTCTTCCTTTGCTGCAGTCCCTGGTGGGGAAAATGAGAAATTCTTGCATCTAAGCAAATCAATCTACTTGAGGAAAATCAATGTTTTTCATTCTTCAATATATAAGTGTTTGGGAGCCAACAACAGAGCAAGAGGTTCAAGTGTAAAAAATAATCTAAATTCCCAATGATTTATAGTGAGTATGTACATTATAGGTGACGCACTAAGGCTCACTAATTTTGCACTTCCCTTATAGAAGGTTAAACACATTATTCTACATAATTGCAGTTTTCCTTCCAGAACAATCACACAAGGCAGCCGTTACTGCCCTTGCTCCCCACAACGCACTCCAAGCTGTAGTAGATGCTCTTCTTACTGACATCAGATCAGGCCTGTGAAGCAGCCCAGAAGTCATTCCTAGCAAAAGGCCTTTACTTTTTATCATAGGCTGTTTTACTGACACAAACAGCATTACACATACCAGTAGCAGCGATTTTGTACATAACCACAGTGTAGCTTAGTCAGCAAAATGCTGCTGCTGCAAATGTTTAGTGTTCACTCAAGCCATCTTCTGCCAAGTACTTTCACATCTGTGTGATGTTCAGTGACCCAACCACTAGAGGACAGACTAGGTCTCCATAAACAGCAGTAAGCAGGGATACTTCCTTGGTAAGCAGAAGAAAGCAGTCCCTGCTTGAAAAGGCAAGACCTTTGGAATACTCTCCTGGGATGCAATTTGTGGTAAAACCTGTGTCGGTGCACATGCGCCTACCCCTGACAAGCAACCTACCTGCCTGGGACAGACCCCTGCAGTTCCCAGTACTTTAGGTCCCAACGCAGCGCATGTAGGTGTGAAAGGATGTTCCTCAATTGCCTACCTGTAGGCAGACACTGCTCAGAGATGTACCTTTTTGTGGAGTGACAGCTGTATAACATGTTGTGGATTATGCAAGCTAGACGGGCCCTGATTAGGCAAGGAATAATGACATGAGGAACCCTGGGATATATCCATACTCCACTCAGAAGTGGCGTCTTATACAGCAGTTAAAGCAGGACAGTCAAAATATACCTATGGCAGTTCAATTATGAGTAATTGTGTAGATTTCTACTTAAGACGTGAGTGAAACTCCTCAGAGAAACTAGTGAAGCAAGGAATAAATAAATATGTGATGAGTTCAGATATTGCCTCTGTTGACGAGAGTCTCTCAATTTGCACAGAAATGTCAGGAGCTCCTGACTGCTGAAATCATAACTCCTGAACCCGGCCCATGGCATGTTCTCCTGAGGTACAAGCTACCAAATAAGCAGTATATATCTCATAGGACAGATAACCCAAGTCAAACAGAATGCAGAATATCCTGTGACTCTTGAGAACTCAGTCCATAACATGTCATTTAAGAGCAGTGGTCTTACGTTAATGGGGTCGAGTGCTCACTTACCTACTAGTAAGAGCATATGCTAGAAGCAAAATGCTGAAGTGCACTTCATTGCTGTCAGGACCGATCTCCTCCTGGTGCCTCATAGTGCCCATTCTTCATTACTTTTCTAAGCTACACACTCATTTGAAAAAGAGAGGACCCAAAGGATATTTGAGACTCAGTTTTGTTAGTAGCCAAAAACACACTCATGCTCAATCTCACCTGTTTCTACACATTCCTTCTATTACACCTTTTGTGAAGTTTCACCTGAGAAAACATGAAGGATGATGTACCATTAAAATGACTGGTGATGAATATATGTTTCTCAGAAATGGATTTTTATTTTTCAGCATTTGTGGAATTCCACAATAACGTTGCAGATTTAATTTTTTTCTCTAGAACAGAAGGCGAATGGGACATCTTACAATCCGATTTTATGAGACTTCACTATGCAGCCAAAAAGTTGGGATGGTAACTGCTCCCAAAGCAGACAGCTGCTGAGAAATGGAAATATGCCAGCCGAGATATCTGAAAGATCGGCTAGCTTTTTAATTTTCCACAGTTTACAAAGGACTGACAGGGCCATACTGAAGCTCTTAAGCCAGGGTAAAACAGAAATCAGCCAGCCTCCAAGTTCTCCTGTCCCTCTAGGACTAACAGTCAGAAAGTGCGGGGTCCAGACTGTTGTTTGTGTTATGGGACATAAGGCAGATCACACCATATTTCAAATCTCAGCTATTTCTTTGCTTTTTCTTCCCAATACAAATACTTATTCCTTTACTTTTTCACTCAAACAAGGCCAAAGAACTCTTACTCAAAATCTTCCAGAAACCAGGAGCCTACTAAAACTGAAAAACTTGATCTGAAAGAGTAAATGATAGTTGCTAGAGCTTGAAGAAAATATTTATTAAAAGTATTTATTAAGGTGTGCACAGTAACAGGGCATGAAAGAGGTCTACTGTGGAAACCTCTTTACGCTATTAATTATATCATGAACTTTCAAACAACTGTTAAACTGTTAAAAAGCAGTAAGGCTTGCTGTATTTTTACAGCAGTTTTGGATGCTCTATATACTATTCTATACTATTGAAATTGCTGTTATGATGTAGTGAGGAATTAGTGGATGCAGAATCTGTAACCTGTCCTTTGGCATCACAGTGGTGAGCGCACTAAAGCAATTTTATTTTGCAGCAAACTCACTCAAAACCCCAAAAGCTCAGTCCTCAGTTTTGGCCATCTGTGTTCAGGAGAGAACCTAGGTGAAGCACAGCTGGCTCCCAGCCACCAACGTACTCCTCTGCTTCCTGTATCTGTTGAAGTATTGCTCAGCCTCAGGACTATTCTAATTCAGACTAACCGAATTGAATCTAATTCATAGCGCAAGACATTGGCTACAATCCTTTGTCCCTAAAATACAATTGGGAGACAGAGTAAGATAAGGCCAGCTCCACCAGCTTTAAAGCATTCAAGAGTTCCATTTCTTGTGAGGAGTCCAGAGTTAGTCACTTAAGCTAATTTGAAGCATGTTTTTTTGTTGCTATACTGAAGTCAAGTTAATTAGCGTAAGCCCAGAATGAGCACACAGATTCTAGTTCAAAGAACAGTTTAAGCTAACGTATCACTTAAAGATCCTGTAAATAAAAGTCAGTATGAGTGAGTGTAACAGAATTATGATGCAGATTTAGAATCTAGCAGTGCCACTTTCAGCATGGCTGGGGTTGTGGGAACCAAATGTATTACCACTTGTACAGCTCCCATTGACTTCAAAGGAGTAATCAAGATGTAGCAAAATAAAGACAGGAGAGTTTGAGTTCTTTAGGGATTTGTAAGCTGCAAGCACTGCAGAAGATGTGATGCTATGTGATGTGCAAAACCAAAACCAATGCATGTATTAATAACGCTGTCCTGTGGAGCCTACAAGACACATATTGAGTCTCCCCTCCAACACAATTCTTTCGACCCGTCATATAACATAGCAAAGACTTTTTTAGCACAAGTTAAGACCTCCTCCTTCCTAGACCGTTCCCTGCTCCTCTCTCTCTTGCTCCTGTCCTCCTCATTGATTCAGGACCCCTCCACAGTATGCTTCATAGCACCTTCTTCAAAAAGACCATGGCACTATCAGCCTTTCCCCCTCAGCAAGTGACTCTAATCCCACCCATTATTCGGGAAACCCTTCTACCATACTTCTTGCAATAGCTCTACCATGATATTCCAGAAAAGGTGTCAGTATTGCCTGCAGCAAAACAGGTGTAAGTGGGATACAGATACACAGTTAGCAACAGATATACTGGAAAGAAAACATACAGTGTCCTATATAGTAGGCATAGCATGAACACAGGTGCAAGACAGAGAAAAGGCAGGACAGCTGAGCCAATTTTTATGTGAAACAATAAAGTTCATATTCTGAGGTCTTTAAAATTATTTGGCAGTTTGCTGTTGTCTTCAGCTGGGCTGGAACTGTTTCCTAAATTCCTGAAACCAAAAGAGGTAACTGGACTTACAGTGTATGTGCAATTTTATATATGCCATACCTGCATATGCAGATTTTCTGAGCAGAAAAGGATTGCTTATCCATGCATCATGTATAGTGCTGTATTTTGCATCGTTTTACTCATCCTAATTTAACACTGGCCTTCTCTTAATCAATGTGAAATAAAGGCTTATGTCATAGTAAAGGCTAGCAACAGGGAGCATTTTATTAGTTTTATATTCCTTGAAATAAAATTCTCTCAAATTCTTAACATTAATTACAATACATTTGTGATAACATTTCTCACTAACAAAAAATG